TTCCTTTCCTGTCCTTTCCTTTCCTTTCCTTTCCTCTTCCACGACCCAGTTTGATAGCAGGCGTTCGCGGCCGCGGGGCAGTTTCCTCTAAGAGGCCACTCATCACTCTTCCTCCTTGGGTAGTCCCCCGAAGTTCAGCACAGGGCGGCAGCGACGCCGGCACGCCCTAGACCGATTACTGCGGCCAGGCCCCCCAGCAGAAGTATTCGTCAGGCACGGCTGGAAATCCTCACCAATGCCACGGGGAAGCCTAATCGGCTACTATCGCTTTCTAGATCCGAGGAGGAGGAGGAGGAGGAGGAGGAGGAGGAGGAGGAGGAGGAGGAGGAGGAGGAGGAGGAGGAGGAGCTTCGAGGAGGAGGAGCTTCGAGGAGGGGGCGGAGGAGGGAGGGAGGGATCTTCCGATCTCGGCCCTCGCCCGCGCCGTCGACCGCACCCCTCCGCGCGCGCGCGCGTGCCGCAGCGATTTTGCCCCCCCCCCCCCCCCCCACACACACACACACACACGCCCCCGAGGCCCCCGCGGGAACGCCCGGCGCTCCCCCGAGGCCGGGCCGAGGGCGAGGATCGCCGCGAATCAGCCACGGGCAAGAGTGGCCCTTCGCCAGAGGGACCTTTTGCGCCCCAGACGTGCTCGCGTCGAACAAAATCATGACGGTCGGTTTTTCCCAGCTTTCGGCCCCCAGGGGCCCTCGCCGGGCCCCGGGGCCGTCGAAGAACAACTCGGCACGACAAGCGGGTCCTGGGGAAAGGGCCGAGATTGCTGGGGGCGCCGTCCTGCAAAAATCAGGACGTCGCATGTCTGGTGCGGGGGCCCACAGGGATCCACCCGGCAGGGGCTTGCGCGCGCGGATCTGGCCCCCCAGCGGCCCCACGCAGCCGCGCACCCAAGGTGACCCATCGCTGGAGTGACTTTTGGTGACCCTTCGTCGGAGTGACCTTTTGGCTCGGGCCCACAGGAGTGGCCCACTCGTGGGCCTGCGCGCTTGAGTCTGGCCCCCCTGCGGCGCTCGGCGGCCGCGCGCCAGAGGTCACCCCTGCCTGGGGCCACCCCCGCGCGCAGACGCCGCGAGGCAGACGGGCCCTGCATCGGAGAACAGACATTCGCATAAGCATTGGCCTTCGGAGGCCCACGCAGATCTCTTGGATCGGCCCTGGATATCCCCGGCGGCGCCTCCCGCGCCGCCCCCGGCGCGCTCCTCGCGCCAGGAATAAAAAGAGTCCGGCGCGGATCCGAGAAATCCCCGCGGGCCTCTGGAAGTTTATGTCTGTGCAGATGTTAATGTGTCTGCTGAGGGGGGCGGTCCTGTTCTCTTTCGCCGCCTTCGGGCCCTCGCGCCCTTTTCCTGGGCCCCAGGAAGGCTCAAAGGTCCAGGAGGACGGATCGGTCCTGGGGGAAGGCCCCGAGGTCCAGGGCCCGTTTTCCTCGGGGCCCGTGGCAGGCCTGCCGGCGCGGAGTTCGGCGGCCCCGAAAAGGAGTGGCCGTTCGCCGGAGTGGCAGCTGGTCATCTGCTGCGTTCGGGCGTGTTCGTCGGTTCCGGGAGGTGCTCCTGCCCGGGGGCCCGGGGCGCGTTCGGGCAGCTGCGCCGCGACAGGGGCGTTCCAGGGGTGCCCAGGCCGTCCCGAGCGGCCGCCGGTGAGCCGAGCTGTGGCCCCAAAGCCAGAGGAGGGGGGAGTCACGTCAGGGTAGCCTCTCGCCAGAGTGACCCTTGACGCGCGGCGCGCCGATTGCTTCCATGCTGCGCGACGCGACCGCAGCGACCCACCCGCTGGGGCACTCCGGGTTTCATTGTATCCTTCAAATTCTGAGCCCCATCCAGTCTTTCAGAAGTCTGGCCCGCAGGGGTCTATGCTCACGCGTGGTCGCCCAACCCCTCGCCATGCCCACTTGCCGCGCCGCCAGCCGAGCGACGCAAACGAGCGGCCCGCTGCGCTGACCTTCGCGCGCAGGCTGCCCGCGCAGTGCCGCGCGCCAACGCCCCAGCTTCCAACGTGCCCCCGTGGATCACGCCGAGGCTGCCCATGTCTCGCCCAGCGTTCAGAGGGGCTCCCGCCCACGCGCTTCAAGGCTCAAGACCAGAGCAAGCATCGGAAAAGCGAGCCGAGAGGCCGCGAGCCGAGAGGCCGCGCCGCGCCAGGAGGGGGCCCCCGCAGCCCGCCGCTCCGGCGGCCCGCGCAGGCCACGCCGGCGCGGGCCCGCCGTGGCCCCCTCGCTCGCCGGCGGGCGTCGCCCGCCTCGACGCCCGCCCGCCCCGTGCCGCGCCGCCCCGCCCGCGGCCTGGCAAGAAGGCTCCCGCCGCCGCCGCCGCCGCGCGCGCTCCGCCCTGGGCCGCCGGCCGCCGGGCCGCCGAACTCCCTCCGCGCGCGCCCGCCCTCGGCCCTGGCCCTCGGCCTGGCCCGCGCCCCCCCCCCCCCGCGCCATCCGCCCCCCCCCCCCCCGGGGATGGCCCGCTGAGCGCCGCGGCGGCGCCGCGGGGGGCGCCGCGGGCGCGCTGCGATGGAGGGGCCGCGGGGGTGGCCTTCTGCCCGGGGCCTCGGAGGGGAGGCGCCCGCCGCTCGGCTGGCCTCCGAGAGGTGGGCGCCCCACGGAGCGCCGCGCCGGGGGCCGCGGGGCTCCACGGGATCTCTGTGAAGGAGGGGCAGGGGGATGGCCTTGCGCTCGAGAGGCCTGCGCCGTTCCGCCGGCCTTCGAGGGGCGGATGGGCGAGACTGGGTGCAGCTCGGGCGAAGAGAACTATGCACATGCACCGATCCTGACAACGTCCATTCTTGACCCAGGATCGGTGCATATGCCTTCCTGGCCAGGGTAGGAGGGCGTATGCACCGATCCTGGGCTCAGGATGGGCCTGGCCAGAATCGGTGTATGTGCATAGTTCTCTTTCCTCTAGCAGCTCTCCACGCGCCCCGCCTCCACGGCAGCCCAGCCAGAACAGGTGCCCAGGCGAACGGTCGGGGGAGCGGAGAAGGGGCGCAGACCGCGGCGGAGCCGTGGGGCCCCACAGGCGCGCCATGATGGAGGGGCGTCTCCTCCTCTCTCTCTCCTCTCCTTTCCCCTTCCTCCTCTGATCCCCATCCTGCCCAGACTCTTCTCCTTCTCCTCCGCGTTGTCTTTTTGGGGCCTCTGCTTGAGGGAAGGGAAGGGCTCGTCGCCACGGTTGGGCTTGGCTCTGAAAGAGGCTCGGCATGGTGCCAGGCTTATGATGTTCCAACCTACTTTAACCTTGATCACCAGAAAGAATTTCGAGCACCAAGAAGTTACCGAAACTGGAGGGCTTTCGCGGGTAGGGCCCTGCGAGGCGTACTCGTTCGACATTGTTGCGATATTGTTCTGGGTGCTCGAAATCATTTCTGGGGTGTGGCCCTCGAGCACGATGGGAGCAACATGATGCCAGGCATGGTTCTGGACATTGTTTGGTAGCGGTGCTTCGCTGGGACGGGGGAGGAGGGAGGGTTCCCTGGCGTCTGGGCGTCCTGATAAGTAGGAAATGTTGTCTTCGCCGTGCTTCGGGCCCCGAGGACTTGACATATCTCAGGGGGGGAAAACACACAGAAACAATAGTTGTCAATTCCTTAGGAAAATATGGGAAACATGGGAAGGGGGGGAAGACGAAAACTCAACACATATGGTAACATATGGGGAATCATGTTATTTGTGTTTTTATTTGTGTGTCCTTGGGCCCCTTCACTATCGTTGCAGCTAGAACCATGGTTGTGATCAGTTCATGACGTCATGGATTTTTGTCTCTCGGGCCAGGCATGTATTTCCGTTGCGAATCTCCTGTTTTCGTGGGCTGGGGGAGGGGATGGGGCGGGACTCACTCTGGCAGCTGTAGCTCGTCGAGAATCGGCGTTGGTGATCCCGCGACTAGCCTTCCATGGGCCACGTCAGTGTTGAGGAAACACTTCGGCTCCATGGCAGTTCCCCAATTTTGTCCCTCGCCCCCCATGATAGTACTTCTCAACAGTGGGTGGAAGAACCGACTCGCTCGAGCGTCCTGTTTCAGAGGGGATGCGTGTGCTGCTGCGTTCGGCACTCGGGAGGGCCACGATTGAGTACAGCATGTCGAGCTCGTCGCAGCGGCCCGGGGAAAATCGCCCGTTGATACAGACAGCGCGCGTCCAGGATGTCTGCCAGACGCTCGCGGACAGGGGTGGAGGGCGAGCGAGCGAGCGAGCGAGAGAGAGAGAGAGATGGAGAGAGCAGGAGAGAGGTCATAAGAGAGAGAGAGAGAGATATCATTAGAGTGAAAGGGAGAGGGACAGACAGGGACCGACAGATAAAAGCACACTCTCACTCACTCACACACACACCACATACATGCATACATGCATGCATGCATACATACATACATACCTGCCGACCTACAGACTTACATACATGCATGCATACGTAGATACATACAGACAGGCAGGCATACAGACAGGCAGGCACACATGCATGCGTGCATGCATGCATACACACATACAACCATGCAGACATGCATGTATGCATGCGTGCATGCATGTATCATACATTCAGACATACATGTATACATGCATACATGTATACACACATATATATATATACACATGCATACTGGCGTACACACATATACATATACATATACACATACATATACATATACATATACACATACATACATACATACATACATACATACATACATACAACCGTCCACACACAATCATGCATACATACCTGCATGTATACACACGCGTGCATGCTTGCGCACACACATACATACATGTACACCTACATACAAACACACATGCACACCCACCTATACACATACATATACACACATACATACATACATACATACACATACATACATACATACATACATACATACACACAGATCCATCCATCCATCCATCCATCCATCCATCCATACATACATACATACATACATGTCGAGGCACATGTATACAACCATACATGCACACACATGTTCGCATACCCAAATCGCATGCATACATACATGCATGCATACCTGTATGCATACATACATACATACATACATACATAAATGCATACATAAATACATACACACATACACACATACATACAGACATACATACTTACACGCACATCGGTGCATATGTACACATAGCCATACATACATCGCTACATACATGCTTACGTGCATACATACTATACATTCATACATTTGTCTTCACACATAAATGCATATACACATATATATATACATACATATATATATGTATATATGTATATGTATATATGTATATATGTGTATATATATGCATGTATGCTCCCCCCAGCACCCCCCCCCCCCCGGAGCTTTGATGTTGCACATCGCTACGTTATTCCTCTTTCCTCCTCAACCACCTCCTCGTCCTCCTCCGTCTCATCCTACCACCTCTTCCTTCCACTCCAATCACTATTCAGTATCCTCCTTCTCCTCATCCCCTCATCCTTGTCATCTTCCTCATCCTCATCCCCTTCGATGAGTGCGTCTTCCTCATCCTCATCATCACCCCCATCATCTTCCTCATCTTCCTTATCCTCCTCCGCTCCTCATCATCATCTCCCCGTCCTCCTCATCTTCCTCATCTGTCTCATCCTGCTCATCCTCCCGCGCTTGGGGAGGCAACCGAGCATGTGTTATTGTTCGGGGATGGACAGACCTCCTACCCTGACACGTCGATTAAGGAATTGACCGTTTTCGGTTCGCGAGAGGGCGTCGCGGCCGTCATTTTGCGGGTCCAGGTCCGTCGGTTTCGGTCCCAGGTCGTTTTCATTAAGGGGAGGTCTACTAAAGGGAGGTTTGTCCACCGCCGAATTATATTTCCTCCTCCGCCACGCCCTCACCCTCCTCCACGCCCTCCTCGCTCTCCACGTCCTACAGTGAGTTTCAAAGTTGGTTTCAGGCGGTTTGCCAAGATCTGCATTTTTCCCACATCATTCCCTCTGAGAAGGAGCGGGGAAAGGAGAGGAGGAGAAGGAGGGGGAGGAGGAGAAGGAGAAGGAGGGACGGTAGGGTATAGGGGAATATATTTCAGTCGTGGTCCCTCGGTACCACGAAACACTGGTTGTTTTGGCTTCTAGGTCTGGTAAACAACGAAGCACTGTGTACGAATGCTCGGTGTTTTTCGTTTTTGCTTGTTTTGTCTTGTGGGCTTGGGAGGCTGAGTGAGAGCGGTGCTGGGGAGAGGTCGCGGCGAGGAGCCTTACAAGCTGAACAAAAACAACTACTTTGCATACACAGGATTCCGTTGCTTCCCAGACCTAAACATCCCCGAAAGACTTAGCATACACAGCGTTTCGTGGCCCTCACTCTCCTCATCTTCCTCATCCTAATCCCTTTCGATTGGTGCATCTTCTTTGTCATCCTGATCCTCATCCTCATCCTCCTCCTCATCTTCCTCACCATGCTCTTCCTCCCCTTCTCATCTGCATCCCCTTATCCTCCTCATCTCCCTCTTCTATCTCATCCTCGTCATCCTCCAGAGCTTGGGGAGGGGACCGAGCATATGCTATTGTTTTTTGGGAGGGAGAAGGTGGGAGCGGACAGTGCGCCTCGCCAAACGTGCCGTCAACCAAAGATGCGAACGTGGCCGAAAGTCTGGCTGATGACGACGGGGACGGGCCTCAAATCGAGGATAGGCCGGTACACCCACAATTGAAGCGGCGGCCTGCAAAGGCATCAAGACGCAACGAGCATGTCACGAATTACGGCCCGCAGATGCGGAAGGAGGAGGAGGAGAAGGAGGACGAGGAAGAAATGAGAAGCACACACCGTGCGGTGGCAACCTAAACGGTCGCAAGTCAGGTTTGGATTCTGCAAAACAAATTGCCGTCCAGAGGCGTTGCACGAGCCAGCCTGCCATAGGCGAGCAAGCGCCACCAGTTGAACACTGCGCGCTGTGAACCTATAGAGCGCAAGACGATGGCCCAACCGTGAATGACCACGAATTGCAACGCGCATGACAGAACGGAAGTTCGCCAAATTGGTCTCGATCGAAGCGGAGAGAGTCATCCGCGACGCAGCAAGCGTCAGAGCGGCAATTCCCAACACAGTTGAATTCACGCAGGGACGGCTACAAACAAAACACGGAGAGGGGAGGAGAGGAAGAGAAGGGAGGGAGAGGCGGAGGAAGGCGGCGGGGCGAGAGGCAGCCGAGTAATCTTCGCGACGCCCGCGGGGCGAGCGAGCCAACAGACTCTCCAGGGGGCCCAGCCTGGCAAGCCTCGCGGACGGTGGCCTCGAGAACGTGCTCCGCCTCGTGCTGCTCCGCAGCACCATGCCGCCGAGCGAGACGAGTCTTGCGCAGCGCGTGGACGCTCACTAGAGCATGCCGTCGTACCACAGCGCGCAAAACGTTTGTTGTTCTGCTTCCTCCTCCTCATCCTCCGCCTCGCCCTCTCCCTCCTCCACGTCCTCCTCGCCCTCCACGTCCTACAGTGAGTTTCAAAGTTGGCTTCAGTTGATTTGCCATGACCTGCTTGCTTCTCAAAACATTCCTTCTGAGAAA